GGGTCATTCCGTGCCAACTCAACAAATGGGATGGCTGGGTACCGTCTCAGATTTTCTTGAAACTCGGATATAATGTGCACCAACATGTCTGACGAACAAACCCAAAATTTGACTTGCCAATTCCAAGACTCAAGTCGTTTAGAAGTTACGGCCATTTGAAATTTTAGGGTCATACCCCTTTTTTGCTATCAATTATGACATATTTGTAAAGTTGCATTTTCAATTAGCCATATCTTCAAATAGAATAAAGATAATTAACTGAAAATAGATATCTAGACTAACTTTTGGCTGTAGAACAAATTTTAAAAATACACACAGAATCGATTCCAAACCATTTATTATTTTATAAACCTGAATCATATCTGCCCTGTGTCAATTTTAATGCTATTGCGAGTTGGATGGCTGAGCACTTTGAGACTTAGGTAAAGTGCTATATAAATCCAACCACATTACAATACTATTAAACCTTTGACATATCAAAGTAGGCTACGCATACATGGGGCAGATTGCTATAAGCCGTCTTTAGATGGTCTTAACTGTTAGCTGGCTCTAATCATGACGTCACTGCTGGTCTATGATTATAGACCATTGCTATACCGCGGTCTAACCAGTTAACCGTCTTAAATTTTAAAGCCTACTCGGAGGAGGCTTAAAGCGGTCTTAAATCATTTTCATCATGCCGTTCTGCTGATTAATTCAACAGTGCAATGGCAAGACCTAGGCTTAGATCGTCAAAGTCGGAGAATTTAACAACTAATACTCTGCACACTTCTCAGCGTCTGTAAAGATTGGTCTACGGCGTTTATTTACGTTCACTTCGATACATTTGCGTGCGTTGAGCACGCATGACGTCGCTCTCTTACGTTACCAGGGAGTGCTTGTTTGCATTTCAATACTCAAAGCGGTCTAATAGGAAAGACTGTTTTATAGCAATGGTCTAATAGAGGTATGACTTTAGTAAGACCGTCTAAGTGATAAAGCCGGCTTTATTTGAGGAGTTAAGACTACCAGTTAAGACCGTTTTATAGCAATCCGTCCCAGGAATCATCCTGGTAGCCCTCTGTTGAACCTTTTCAAGGAAATCGTGATCTCATTTATTTACAATAAGTACTAAGGCTGAAGTTATATCAGTTGATTTTATTACCGTAATTCGTTGATTAGCCGGATAAAAACAAAATGTTGTTTAGCCTCACATCCCATTTCCAAAACAAACTAGGTGGGGGAGAGGAAGTGTTTTTTTAATCATTCAATTATGTTCTGTTGGAGAATTTTTTTACTGTAAATAATTTCCTGTAGTTTTGCTGGTTTTTTTTTTTTTAACTCTTTTTACGATGAACTGTTATTGGACAGTACATTTCTGCTGATGATTTTTCTAGAGAAGCCTTTATTACTTTATACGTATCTTGATTTTTCTTGGTGAGTTCAGAGAAGCAAGCTAACAGTTGAAGCAAATAACGGATGGATCATTGATTATACTAAAATTATCCTTACACTATGAACTTACTTTCTGTATTCTGTTTCTTTCTACACCATTTGTGATATGACCATTGACATCACATGTCATCGGCAACTTTAACATGTACATGTTAGGTGCCATACATCTTATACATCACTAGGATGTAGTACAAAGAAAACGACAAAGGTGATAAGACACACCCATTTACAGTAAATGCCTTTTCTGCCTCACAATTTACTTTCAACCTTTTTATCTGCAGTACGTCATTGTCAATAACGTATTCTACATGCATACAGTACTCTTCTTTATAGTTTAAGTATGACAAAACTGTTGAAAACATTTATTAGCAATGTTACTTGTTTTAACACATGTTGGGCCTATGTGGATAAGATACATTCAATAATAAAAATATTTGAGTCCGATTATTTGACCTTATAAACATTGTTAAAAATACAGTATGTTAGTCATTGACATGTATTTTAGTATTAGAGTCAAAGATGTATTATGTTATTGTAGAGTCTGATTGCTAAAATGTTGTCATGAATATAATAGGCCTATTGAACAAAATTTGATGACAACATTCCTCTTTTTTATAAAGAACTTCAGAATTAAATAAAACAGTGTTGAATGATTTAATGAGAAAAATTAGATATTATTTGACATTATTTGAATGTTTTATATATTGATGATTCATAAAAAATTTAAATAAAAGTAGTTGAATAATCTATATACTGTACTTTTTCTAAAATAGAGAGGTGAGTTTAAAACCACTGTTTCACTATTGCACTGGTAATATTTATGTGCCAGAAGCATTTATAAAGATTATTTTTGTGGTTAGGGACTTACTGTAAAAACAATGTTTTCCATGCCTGGTGGTACTGGCACTTGTCTTCATGAAGATTGCCCAGTGTCAATTTGCTATTTGACACATAACTTATAAATCATATCAGTAGCTATGTATTCTCATATTAATCTAATCTTTTTGTGAATTCATGCCATTTGTATTTTAGTGAATTTAGTAGAGGCTGGTGACAATCCTGGTGGAGTGCAGCTTGTCAACAAATATCGAACCAACAGAACCACAGATGTCATGGACTTAGTGGAACTTGCAAAACAAGTTCAAAAGGTAAGCGCTTGCTTAATATTACTTGTACCCTTCAACCAGGGGTTTAGCCAGAAAAAAGAAATAGGTCATCCAAAATGGAAGCCAGTGGGGGTGGCCCTGAGCCGATGGGTGGGTCACGCCCCTTCCCAAACATAAGAAAAAAAATAGAAAATTATGATCTTTAGAGAGCATTTAAAGGTGTTTAATTGTTGGAATTTTCACCTCTTTATAGACATAAATTGCGCGTGGCTGCGGTTACTCGCATAATATTTCTAGGCTATGCAGATGCATCTTCATCTCTCGCCTTAGTCTAGTGTAAATTCTACTCTAGGTCCTCTGAATCTTGAGATAAGCCTTGACCTACAGTACTATATATTGTTGATTAATAAAATTTAAATTGTGACATTAACAACAACTCTTGTTTACGGTATTTCATGAATTCAATATAACCAGAGTGTTATGAACACCAACAATATTAGGTTGGGGAACCGAATCTCAAGTATTGTATTTGCAGCTACATGCATGCGACTCAGAACCGTCCATTTTCCAGCAGGGTCTAAATGTTTTTAACACGATGCGTGTTATAAGTGAACTTTCCACAGGGTAGGCAGTGGTTAAGCCTTATATTTTTGGGAATCCCTACCGAATATTGGTATGAGAACAACGTACATTCAATCAATAATGGTTGTTTTTATCAAACGTAAATATGATTTAGCTTTAGTTTAATGTAACATTCGATAGATTTGAAAAATATAAAGAATTTGCTATGTAGACCAGGCCCAATTAGGCTAGGCCGAGCTGATAAGGCCAAGCCGTCACGGTAGAAGTGGTTGTCCAAAAAAATTTTTGGCCATCCAAACGACGGCCAGATGGCTCGCTGGCTAAGCCTATGCCTACAACAGACATCATCACATACCTCTTATTCTTTACACCCTGCCATATTCACAAAACCACTGACATTTGCAACTCTAATCCTTAGTTATAAATGATCAATCTTCCCCTTATTTACACCCCTTGTCAAGACTGTCATCATCAACAACTGCCAATCATCTAACCCCTATTTACAAACCATCAACACTATCATTAAATCTACTCCTTAAAGATGAAGCTGTGTATAAACAGTTGATAAACTGAACATTTACCAGTGAATTGGCTAGGCATAAAAACGTAGGCTAGCATTTCCAAATCGTCATTTTTGTACTTTTTTAAAAGCGTACACATGCCTCCAACCCCCTCCCCTGGCGTACGTTTTGTACGCTCGTGAATATAATGGATGACCCCTAACACTTATACAAATCACCAACACATGCAATCCATCATACTCCTAGTTACAAGCCATCATTGCTTTTCCCTCATTTAACCCCTAGTTATAAACCAACCATCTACACTTTCCCCTCATCTATTCCGTACTTACGAACCATGTATCAAAATCGATTGATTTATATATATATAGGCTGATGAATTCACACGAGCTAATGCAGGCAGCAAACTGACAGTGATTGCAGACCAGATCCGTTACTTGCAAGAACAAGCTTATAAAGTGCTTCAAGAAGCCAAGAGGGATGCTGACTTGCATCACGTGGCTTGCAACTTTAAGAAATGTCCAGGAAAAGTGTATCATTTATACAAACGTCCATCTGGTCAAAGATATTTCTCACTTTTATCACTGGAGGTAAAAAAACTAAACAAAAAATAGCCTAGTTTGCTGCAGTAACACAAGTCCTAAGTTGTAGTTAGGTTGGTTGGCGCTGCACTGCAGGTCCCTCGGGGCCAGCCCAAATTTCTGATTTCCCGATTGAATGAGGACCAATAAAAAATTATTATTAATTGTATGCTCCTTTATAACTGCCATTAAACTAACTCTTCTCGATTCACAGAGAAATGTACTGTACTAAATATTACTAAAATATTTACCAAGGGTATCTTTTGCTAGCAAGGATACTGTATTCATTTGTGATACCAAGGATATCTCTATATTTTGGTAAAGAAAGCTAGCCCTGTCGGCTAAACTGGTGGTAGCCACTGTGCGTGCCCTGAACCGTGGAGACCTCTTGGTCTTCGGTTCATTTCCCATCCCTGCTCTCCTTGTGTTTCAGCTTGAGGGCTGAAATGCAAGTTTCGAGACATCTAAACTGTTAATCCTGTGTGCAAAATGGCCTATGTGCATGTTAAAAAACGCAGTACACTCTTCGGAAAAGAGTAGTGAATTGTTTCCCGGTGTACTGCCCAATTAACCACCAGAAGAACTTTTGTCACTCCGAAGAAATCCAATCCAATTCACACTTAACATGCTACATTCATTTGAACAGACCATTATTGTTGTTATTGGCATTTCCCGCACAGGGGTATTCAACCATTGTCTGATGACAGCCATTGTCTGAATACAATTTTTTAACTTCAGTGGATCAGGCCTGCAATGGATTGATTACACTTTCTTTGTATGTGTCTTTATTCACAGGATTGGGGAGCCACATGTCCTCATGAATACCTTGGAACATACCGGTTGGAATATGACATGACATGGACTCCAGAGAAAGACATGGAACGACGAAGCAATGAGATTGGCTTGATTGACAAGGTGCTTAATATGCAAACCAGTATTGAGTTCCCTTCCAAACCAAATTTTAGGAACATTACAGATGTAGAGAGTAAAGACGAATTAAAGTAAATAGTAATATTTTGCTAGTTGAAATATTTTTATGTGGTTACCATAATTATCAAATATTTCTAATATACTGTAATAAATATTGTTTATAAGGTGTAAACATTTAGAATCACCATTTTAACAGCTAAATAATGCTGAGCCCTAACCCTTAGTGACTTCCATATCTGTTCAAATAATATTGTGATATTAATTTGTGAAAATGTTTTATGTATTGTTATGTTTGTTATTGTATAATACAAGTGGACAAAGCTAACACAAGAAATCTAACAATGTTAAAATGGCTGACAGCAAGTCAGACTGTCCATTTGCAAGTCATTGCTGTTTGAGTGCAAGTATCAAGTACCATAAGCAATCAGGAACAAAGATCATCAGCATACACCAATCTGCTTGTTAAACAATATAAGCATGACATCCGATTTTTATTAGGGTTAAATACCCATCATTGGTACAGTATATGGTTTATCTTTTTGAAATTTGTAGTTGGCTATCCAATCCTACTTTAATGATCTAGGAAGATCACACAGTGCTGCACACCCAATTATTGATCAAGTTTTAATGTACAACAGTGAATCATGCCCTGCAGTAACTATCCAACAATTGTTTTTAAACAGATTTTTATTAATTTTTGGAAGGATAACTGAAAATTCATATCAATAGTATCCACTATCCTATGTGTCTTTCTATTTCGTAGAATTTCTGAATAGTGTTTCAATTTGATTGACTAGTCTGGCTACAGTGTTGCGATTCTCGTCTTTTATGATGGGATTTAATTCCTATTGCATTTTTAAAATGCAATTTCTGTTAGAAAAGCTAAAGAATGCACCAGGCCAAAAATACATACAGAGTATTTATATTAACACTAATAATAAAAATTAATATCAATAATATCCACTTATAAACTTAAAATTAATTTGTAGACTACTGTAGTGCACAGTGATTCCTATGTACATGAAATGGAATTATGATTTAGTTATACAGGCTATTTAAGACAAGGCAAAAAATACATAAAGAGTATTTATATTAACACTGAAATGAATGGTAAATGAATTTGATCCACAGTACTTTGTGGTTAAATTACTGTTTAATTCCCTTTTCACAGTTTTGCCTATTCATCCAATCAGTTCTAAATTGTTTAATTGATCAGAATGTGTTTTTAATTTTTGTTTGTTTGGTGTGGTTATGGGTTTCATTAATTTTCGGAGGTATGTAAGACACAGTCTGATCTGAGAGTGCCATTTCCTGGCATCAGGAGTGTGAATATTCCATTGCTACTTCCATGGTGGGGCTGAGGTGGGTGTGGACTTCTGTCAGGGATCTTGGACATCTCATCAGGAAACTTGGACCCCTGTCAGGGGTCTTGAACCACATGTTGCGGGTCTTGGACCTCTTGTAGAACCTGGCACCGCCACTAACCCCGGTATTCTTAAAACGAACTTTAGTCGTAGTTCGAGCTAAATCATTCAAATTACGTCATTTCGTATTCTTAAAACGAACTTCGACTAGCACTACGACTAAATGACGTGAACCTCGACTAAAAATATACCTCCGCAAGCCGATTTTTTTAGTCAGCCTAGGCCCTAGGGTCAGGCTAAATTCTCTATGGTCATATGTTAACAACTAATATAGTTATTATTATAGACAATTAATTAAGGGAATGATGTTCTATTGTGAATTATGAGGAAGTACGTTTTTGAACCACAGACGGCAGCTTAATATTCATTCGCGTTACTGGATCTCTAAAATTTCGTCTGCTATTAAAGTTAGCCCTTTTCATTGGTTAGTTTGATAGTCGTGGCTTGCCAGTCATCTTCAGTTGAACTAAAACTAGGACTTGATTTAGTCGTAGTTAAAACTTCGACTACATTGTTTGTGAATACAAATTGAGGTTAAAGATGCCACTAGCACTAAATGAAGTTCTAGTTCGAAGTTCGACTAAAGTTTGTTTTAAGAATACGGGCGACCAGTAACTGGGTAGGACATATGCAGTAATGCCTTTGAAATGTTGTATAACAACTGAATGCAAGTAGTATGATAATTGTAAATGAATACCCTGCTTGCATTTACAATTCACAAATTGTCAGTAATATGGTAGCGGCAAAGCATTTGAAATTATAGGTTTGTCTGGTATACACAATCTATAATGTTCCACTGAACAGGAAAGAGAACTTCCTAGAAATTACAGCAAATTCCACACCAATAGTAAATATTGACCTGTTTAGGTTGGTGTTTCAAACATCACTAGAATCGTGAGAAGTTCAATATTGCCCAAATATGATTGAAAAAATGATTCAATACAGTAACAATAATATTAGGAACCCAATAGTAGCTTTGCCCTTTGCTTCTGTGAAACACTTGAACAAGTAGTGCAGCATGGATGGATAAATACCTTTCCAAAAAGCATAAAATGCTCAAGTAGAATCAGTTGGCCCAGCCTAGGAAGAACCATAAGATTACTCACACACACTGCCCTGTTATACTTAAAAGACCATTATTCCTGTGTGACTGACCTCACCTAAAAAAGTGATGAGTGATATTTTGTGCAGTTGATAGAAGCTGGCAATCAGTATTATAATTGTAACAAACAGTTATTTAACCATCAATATTTTGTATGAGAAATTAATGGAATGACTGAAGGATATTTATTATATTTTATTGGAATTTGTAAATTTTGTAACATTAAATCTCTATTCAAAAATGAATTGCATTTTGCATTGTCTTGTATTTTAGTTCAGTTTGAACGTTGAGTCTTAGGATCGAGTGGCATGACGTGTGTGTGTAATTACTGTACGATAATTACAATCGGGCAAATGAAACCGATGCACACAGTGCTGTCGGAACTGCACTGGCTATGGCCAGACCACTTTTTCTTATATTTTTATTACATTTTCAAAAATATATACAATAGTATAAGTTTATTATTAATGCTTGCACCACTATGTCATTTGAATATTATATTTAAATAAATATCCACCATGTGCATGTTTTTGTGCTGCACTTCACTTTTTTTTTATAAGAACACGGAGGCTGAAATTACTTAAAAATTAAGAACAAAATAAAAACAAACTGAGGCTGAGGTAAAATTTCAAATGAGGTTTATATTTTTAAAAACCAAAATATTATATCTGTACATTATGTGCAGTAGTTGTGACTGTAATACCCTCTATAAACTGACTTTTAGGGGCCATTTTTTCTGGGGTCACTTTCACCTACATTCCAGTACAGTGCATACTGCCGTACAATTAAATATTTTTTTGTTTAAAAGGAGTGTAAACTAAGAACAAAATCTGAACATTTTGAGCCTGAAATCGGCCAAAAAATAAGAACACTGAGCACTTCAGAGGTTATTTCCGGGCGTCTAGACATTTTTTTAAAAACCCGGGAAAAGTCCGGGACCCCTTCCCCAGGGTAGTGTTGTCTCTCGATCGACCCCTCCCCCTTTCGGGGGTCGTCTTTATTGATTGTGGGGCCCAAAATTTACAGTAAAAGTATTGTTACAGGCCTAATGAAATAAAAATTAAAATTCCAGAATATCATGCTGAAACATTTGTGATGTATGATGGACGAAATTCGTTTTTTATTTCAGTCTCTGCTGAAGAAATAAATCTACTGTACAGTATAAGGGAATTAAGATAAAAGTAGAATCCGTAAATAGTACTGAAACCAAGACGAAGAAGTAAAATGGAGAAATAGGAAGAGCAAGACCCGTTCAGAAAGTTCAGACTTTGCTAATTTTGTCAGAAATCCCATGCGTCTTTCTATTTCGTAGAATTTCTGAATAGTGTTTCAATTGATTGACTAGTTTGGCTACAGTGTTGTGATTCTCGTCTTTTATGATGGGATTTAATTCCTATTGCATTTAAAAAATGCAATTTCTGTTAGTAAAGCTAAAGAACGCACCAGAGTTCAAACAGTTCTTAAAAAGGAGATAACTGAATTAGAAAATTAATTCAGTATGTATTCTGAAAATTCAACCAAGATACATTCCTTATTTTAGAAACCAAAAAATGGAATTGGAATCAATTTATAATTATATGGCAAAGGGGGATATTATTCGGAAGTCCAAGGGTAGAAGAGGGCGAGAAAATAAAATTCCAAATACTTTTTAAATCTTGAAAGAAGGCACTTTAATAAAAAGCGCATAAATTCCAAAAACAGAGAAGAAACAGTTGCTGGAAATATTGAAGTGTCGAAGGAACGGCATACTTTTTATTACAAGGTATTGTAAGCCAAAATTATTTATTGAATTCTGTTATTAAAAAACTCAGTAATTCATTTTTGTGTGAGAGGTCATAAAGCTTTGTTTTAAATTCTGAATGTTTTATGATGAAGTTTGTGGTATAATTCAAATATTAAAATAATTTTGTTTAACCGTTTGTTATAAAAAATTTTTTTTTAAAGCAAATGGCGGTATTAACTTTGTTTCTGACTTCAAAATTAATAACAAACGCTTTATGACACACAATCAGTTAAAAACTTATGATTTAATGTATAAATATTGTATACAATATTTTGGTTTCATTAATGTTATCTCTGGTAATCTAAATTAGAAGTTCATTTACCAAGTTCTTAGCAAGGTATTCCCGCTATTAATGCAACTAAAAGATGCCTAAAGGAGGGTTGTTCTTTTATTTATAATTTACTATATAATATGGTCCGCGTTATTCCCAAAACTCAAGAGAAGTGGGAAATTGAATTTAAAGATACACCGGGATATAAAATGCCATATAAAAATACCATGATCCCAAAACACATTATTTGCAATTCCGATTTTTTTTACAGAACTCTTGTCACTAACGACTACAATTGTTCATTTGTTAAAAAAAAAAAGGGGGAAAAAAAAGAAAAAGAAACACTTGATGTTATCTAGTGAAATAATTTCTGGATTGTGAAATTATGTATTTAACTAGTATAACAATTTAAATATTACTGTTATGGAACATATATGGAAGTGTGTTATGGTATATACTGTATGACCATAGATAGGCATATTCAATTTTTTTATACGACTTCTTGTCGAAAGATTATTTACACATGGAAGATCCGAGAAATACACTTAAACTTATTATTCAAAAACAATGGATCTATTCAACTGAAACATAAAAATAATATTTGCTAGAAATACACAAATACACTTTAAATATGGAAACCCATAGGCTACTAATCAATGCAATATAAAGACAGGTTTTACTCCGATTGGCCCAGCGTTTCGCTCGGTCTGTTCCAGACAGACACGGGTGATGTGCTGAACCGACCGTATGGTTTTCTTCTTCCTTCTTAGAGATTAAATAATTCACTAATAACAAATGAGAGATTTTTATTTATACATGAGAAAGAAAAAATTCTTAAGCTGCTGTAATTAGTGGTTTTTGTTTGTTTTTTGGGGGGTTTTTTTGCAACGGAAATGGATAAACTAAAAAAAAAGTTTGTTTTGAACTCCTGCAATACTTGGTAAACTGTGAAGTATGTAGAAACCGTGATTTGCGTTTTAAACAAACCGTGGAATTAACCAATGTCTAGTGTTCAGGTAACTACCATTCATAGTCTCAGCTCCGACTTCAGCAGATTGTTTTATAGGCACGAAAGCTGTATTTTTCATTACGTTCGAACGCTGAACAATAGCGTTTGAAAACTGACGGTGTTGATCGGTTGGTCAAACCTTTTAAAGTAGTGCCAGATCCATAATACCAAACCTCATCGGGAATTCTTTTGCACTAGCATCTCTGTTTTCAACTAAACCATTCGATTGGCACCAGTTGTTGTTCTTTCTGTCGACCAAAGAATACTTTATCTTTATGAGTTTGAAAGTTTGGTAATTCACCGCCGGCCTTGATATACTGTTAATGTTACTCTTATAAAGCTGAATAATTAGTGCTGCTATTATCTTCCTCAAAAACTTTTGCTAAATCTTAATTTTGATCTTGTCCATTAGCAAAGGTAATACTGCATAGTATTAATGTGTAAGTAGGAAACTCGTCTTCCACAGCATTCTGTTGCTCCACCCTACAAAAGTGCTGTAGTGATTGCACAATTTCACTGTTGGTACAGCTCAAAATATCTTTTCAGTCTTTGCGGAATACTTGCTCAGAGCTTTAAATGTTTTTGCTAATGATCAGACTACCTGACCAATGGCTGCTGCAATGGTTGCACATTTTATATATTTGCCAGGACCTGACTATAATTGTGTCGTTTTGTTTCAATGTGGGCTCATGTAATTAAACAGTTGCTGTCTTCAATATGTAAAAAGAGAAGATTATCACGTTGTCACCTTGGTCATAATGATGTGCCCTTAGTAATACTGTACAGCAACGCCTAGACCGTTAGTTCTGACCCATGTCCCTTGCAGTCAAGTCTCGAAACAATACTTCATAACCTAGGAAAACACAGTTTTTCAAAGTAAAAATAATTAGTCTTTCCTTTGGTAATGTAAAA